CGCATTTGGGCAACAGTAAAAATTAGGGCAGTGTTATCAAAGTCTTAATAAGTTTCTCAATGCCTTGATTACTTCCACGGTTAACTATATTATAAGAAACGTTTTTTATTATTTTGATTCTTTTTGGAAACCAAATTTGTTTTATTGTTTTTAATAATGAACTTTTGTTATCAATTACAAGATACATTTACTACAGAAATCTAACAATAAAAAATATGTTCGCTGTCTGCAGCTTTTCTCCCAGCTCAACTTTGTATGAACTTTAGTACCGAAGTCAATGGTTACTTCTTGATGATCCTAGTATTTATTGTCCGCCATTTTGTTTCAAAGTTTGATGCTTATAAATAAATATTAAAAAACAGCATCCCGATAGACAAAGGTTCGAATCCGGCCGGGTCAGATGTAGTCACCGTACACAAGTACCCGAGTGAAAAGTAAAAGTGGTTGCGAGACCATCTATGGTCGGAGAAAGTTTAACAAAACACTTGCCGCTCGCCGACTGTCAACGGTCAATGTGCATAATCTCATAATAATGTAACCATATGTAATAATGTTCATGTATTAATAATAACGTTAGTACATAATACATTTTTATTGTTCCATTAAACCGTTGTATAATCCATTAATGGCGTTCAATAAATGATATTGTATTCAACATCAAAGAAATATATATTTTTTTTTTTACGAAAAAAATTGATATAAATAAATCTGAAAACTCTGTTAAAAGTTGTTTTGAGTATTTTAATAATTTAATATAGATTTAAACCCCAATACCAGACTGAAACGACTAGAAACCGCCCGACGTTTTCGACTACTGCAGCACTTACTAGACAAACGCTATAAGCTTTCAATCAATTACAAACGACTCATTTATATGACAATAATAAGACCTATTTGGACTTACGGAATCGAGCTTTGGGGCTCCACTAAACCATCGAATTCCTCTCGTATCCAATCCTTACAATCCAAAATCCTCCGTAAAATCCTTAATGCTCCATACTTTATCACAAATAAAATCATCCATAAAGACCTTAATGTTCCATATGTTTCCGATTTGGCCCAATCCAGATACCTATCCTTCCATAATAAACTGCAGAACCATCCGAATCTTCTCGTTTCAAACCTTGCTTCCTCCTCGATCCCTGATAACCCTCCGAGGCGTCTGAAAAGAAGATGGCCTCGGGAGCTTCTAATATAGAATTTTAATTTGAGTTCTACCAATGGGTAGTTTCTCTTCATGTTGTATATGTCATTTTACCACTATCACATTTACTTATTGTATTTTCCATGCAATACAGTTGTTAATTTCAATAAAATAAAAAAATAAAATAAAAATATCGATTTACTATACATTTTTTTAGAATGATATCTAGTCCTTATAGATATTTTGAAAGGATATTAGGCTGCCACCACTAAACTTAAATATACATATATACCATTAAATAACTCTATTTGAAACAAAAAATTTAATCAGTAATTTTTTAATAAACTCTGCTACATTTAGGACCAAGCAGGAAAACGTATACTAAATTAATAGGGCGTATAAAAAAAAAATGACCGTTTTCAAGCAAATACTTGTATTATTATTTCTTTGATATAAAATACAATTAATACTTAAATTATAGTCCATTGTTATATACCTTCATTAACCATGACTTGAGACTCCTGCCTCATCCATCATATATTCCAGACCTTCCACCATCGGATTCCTACTTATCTAGGTGCATGGTCCATTTTCTTCAAATGAAAAAATTTAATAATTTTGCAGAAGTTGAAATTGCGGTCCAAGAGTTCTTTGACAACCATCCCAAAGAATGTTATATGATTCCTAGGACTATATTTTCGGCTAAACTTGCTACGCCCTTTATGTCAACAACGAGGCACTCCATGATTAAAAAAAACTAAGGTGTGTGCTTTTGACCAGACGATATAAGTGAAAACATCAGGGCGAGATTAATAATATGAAATATAAATTATAAATAATAGCTCATTATAAAGAGGATGAAATACTGAACATTTCCCTAGTTTACAGTATGTGGATCCGAGTTTTAGTTTCTGAGATTTTTTAATCCATATCTTCCATAAAATTCTTTATAATTTGGTTTTCGACACTATTTTTTTTTCTTTTCACCTCTCTAACACGGCCTCACGTTAAGATTTTTTTTGAAAAATTTTGAATAATAGCCCATTACAAAGAGGATGAAATGATAAACATTTCCCTCGCTAATATTATGCAGGTCCGATTTTTAGTTTTCAAGATATTTTAATCCAGCCGACTTTACCCCAGCGTTACATATCGGAGAGCTGACGGCTCAATCTAATTCGCTCTCCATAAAAATAAGTGTAAAATGCGCCTAAAGAAGCTTTGACTTCCATAAAACCACATTAAATAAAAAGTAAAACCCCAAATTTTAAGGGATGTTTACTTTTTTCTTTGTGGATTACAAAAGTTCATTATTTAAAATAGTTAACCAAAATTTAAAGAAAACTAGTCCTCTAAATTAGGACTTGAGACTTGAGTGTTTTATTAAATCTTTCAATTTTGTCAAGCATTTCATCGATCATTTGACAATCTTTGTCGCAAGACCGTTGAGTAGAAATCACTTTTGATCGCTAATGATCAAGTCTTCATTTCACGGTTGCGGGTCCAATGTCCTACTGATTTCTCAATTATGTCAGATCTGATTTACAAATCGTTCGTCTGGAAAATCACTGACAATTGGATTCATTGTGTCAACTTTATTTGGCGTGAAAATAGATTTTTTTTCTTATTTTTATTTTACACTTGCCTAACCATCTAGAAAATACTTAAATTTTAGGGATTCAACTATTTCAAAAATATAGCTGATCCAACAAAATGTTTTCTATAATGACATTGATCATTTTAAAAATGAAATGTGGTATTTTGATGACTTAAGTAAAACGTAGCGTAACACATAATTAATTAAATGATGAGCTGTATAATTAGTGCTAATTACAGACCTGAAAGGAGAGCTCCTGTAATCTCCTACTCTCCTACCTTTGTCTATCGTTTCCATGATGCAGCGACAGGCCATCCACAGGTCCATAGTCTGTTCCTTTGGGAAAAATCTGCCAGTGTTCTTCCCACTGACTCACTCAGGTTCAAGGACTGAAAAATCAGTCTATATTCTGAATTATAGCTCTACAGAGTAAGCAAGCGCAAAAAAAAAAAAAAATCTTTCACTGAAATAGAACCTCCATGGAGCAAACGTCTTGGGGACTACCAACATCCTGGAAAACCCACATCACGATTCCCGATAGGGTACGGTCAGTATAAGCTGCCTCCAGTAGTTTGACGGGGCAAAGGTTTGAGAGTACCGTGTTCGGTAAACCGCTACTGTAATAGACTTCCATTGGTAGACTCAGGTCATGATCCCAGTCCCCACCATACCTCCCAGATGTCCTGTTTTTTCAAGTTTTTAGCTAAATATATATCTTTCTGATATTGTTTGAATAGTGCCATGTCAATCTAATATAGGTATTTTATCATTTGAAGTCTATAGCAGCTCTGGTTTTCGTGTTTTTTCCATGTACCCAACTGAATATTTAATATCTATTTCTCACGACTATAGAGATCCGAATCAATAAGATAATCTTTAAAAGATAAAGTTTTTTTTATTTACAGATAAGAAACAAATTATTTTATTAAACATAGACTCGGTAATAATTATTCATAATTATTAGTACTCAGCTGTTGGCCAATTAATACTTTAATCACTGCCTGTTAGATCATTAACTAAGAGGCCTTGCTTTCACTTCCTTTTTCCGCTACCTCAGCTTTTAATCTTTGTATAAAGTCAAAATAATGACAATGGCCATTATCTTGAGAGAAAAAACTGGCATGGTGGCCGCATCACACAGTTTTCATTTACAACCCTTCTCTGATGGTAAATATGTATTTTCATGTATAAGAAAGTGAAAGTAAAAATTATGGATTGAAGTGTGATTCACACACTGACATCCTAAATTTGTCAAAATAACGAGGTCACATAGGCCAAGCGGTCCAAGATTTTTGTAGGCCACCTTTTAAATCTATTTTGTGATCAAATTATCTCACGATCCAAGTGGAAAGTAAATGGTTATTTATGAGTTTTTAGTACCTAATTATATAGACAAAATTTACCGACTTACAGATCGAAAACGCCCGAATTCCGAGAATTTTCGTAAATAAATTATTTGTAGGTTACGATGAGATGAAACTATTTGCGAAGTTTCAGGTAGATGTTAATAATTTGATAAAAAGGGATCTGTAACACGGATTATAAATCTTTTTATATCATGAAAACAGGAACATACGAGTAAAGATAAAATTAGAAATAAACTATAAAGTATAAAAATATATCAACAAATAACTGGACAAACAAGAGAAAACAACAATTGTTCTCTTGAAAGGGAGAATATTTTATGGAAAGTCAATTAAGATAAATTCGAAAATATCTTTTAAAGGTAGTTAAATTACTAACTGTACTATTGCAATAAAATATTTAATTATTTAAATTTTAAAAAATAAAAATCAACGAAAATATATAGTGAAAAATATCGACTTGGGTATTATTTATGCAATGCCTTTTTTTCTTCTTAAAAATGCGTTTATAAAAAATCGCTCTCAATTTAAATCGATTAAAATGACAAGTGTAATTTTCCAATAAAAAAAAAAAAAAAAGGAAAAGATTATATTAGTGTTGTATTCGAGATAGAAATAAATTGATATGAACGTTTACAGGCGTTTTTAAGAAAATGTATGTAAATAATTTATAGACAAATTATTTTTTTTCAACTCCAAAGTCCCAAAGTAAGGTCACTGATAAAAACAGCTGTTTATATTTAATTTCTCCCTAAAAATAAGATTTAAATATTTCACTTAAATTTTCATTGTAGTGGAACACGTAATTACTAACAAAATAAAAACAAGTAATTTTAAATATTATTTTTCATATAGCTTGCATTGCATATTTCTTTTGTTTTAATATATTTAGTTACAATTATCGACTTTATACCCTTCTACACATGGCAGTGTCGTATTCTGATCTTGTCCGGTGTTCCGAGAACATCTTTGAGATCATATCGCCTTGTGCAGACTTATCGATTGCATATGTTAATTTTATGAGAAGTATTTAGAGAGAAGGTAAATAATAAGGTTAGGTGTAAATAATTGTAGGTAGAGAACACCTGTCTTGTCAATGCCGTTATGATTAATCAAAGGTTGAGACTCATTGCGAATTCAAAATTTCGGTGTGCTCATTATTTTCATTAGGTATTTTAATTTATTAAGATTTATATATATATATATATTTCTATGCATATATATTTATATGCAGGTGTATAATCTATTTTTCTTTTGGAAAACTTGATACATTGAGTTCCAAGACGTTACCATTTTGAATGTTTCTTTGGTTGTGGTTTTGATAGTTCTTTTGTAAAATTCCAAGTGTTAATAAGTCGTTTGGTGTCTTTTTTTGTTTCTTTTATTTAAATCTGTGTTCATTATAAAGTTCGATTTGATTTTTGCTGTCCAGTATCGATTCACTTCTGCTTTTGGTTCTGATGCAATGCGAGGTTATTGCTTAACTTAGGTAAGTCAGATCTGTTTAATTATTTTTGAATATTTAATTTCTGGAATATATTTACCTCGAAATCTCGTTGTTATTGTATATTTTTCACTTATAACTAGCTTTTTCACCGTATTTTTTTTTTTATTTCAGTCAGTCAGTTTTCCACTCTTTTTTTCCCCTTCAGAATATATTTAAAAATCTCTTCAACCAAAATATATACAAAATAATACATAATATCATATGTAAACTCTGTTTTATTTATATTATTTATTGGGAAATATCACAATCTGTCTCTAAGGGCATTTATAATAGTGTTGAGAGAGCACATTTAAATTCTAATGTATTATTTAAAAAAATAGATTAAATTGTTAGGTTAAGCAATAAAAGGTTAGGCTTTGATTGATAAAAATTGTATTCCTTTCCCATCCTTGAAATTTCCCTAAAAAGAGAACTTTTTCATCAAAGTGGAAACTATGCTTATAACTTATATTTAGCTTTTTTCGGTACGAAACAGCCAGAACTCTCAGTCCATGATAATTTAAAAAGCGTGGATTTACAAAAGAAATATTGCATACATTTTTGTTTAATTTCTTATCTATTATTCTCATTCGTAATAATACATATATATTTTTTTTATATTAACAGAATTCACTTTCGATTTGATATTTATTGTCCAAGAATTTTATTTATGATAATGCCTACTCGAACCACATTTGAGGTTATGACACGAATGTAAGGTTGAACTATAAAATATTTTTATTTATAATGTTGAAAACGAATATAATCTATTTATAGTAATTATTTAGATAAGGACTGCAAGAGTGCAATGTGGTTCACGATCACTCGGTCACACTTGTTCATGAAGTGCCGAATGCATCCGGGTTTACCCGAATGAATGTTCGGTGTTTCATGAACAAGTGTGACCGAAGTGATCGTGAACCACGCGTAACTCTGCTCTAAATTTATAAAACCTTATTTATTTTAAGAATATTAAAATTCATTGTTAATTTCTAAATTTTAATGTTTGATGTGCTTAATTGAAATTATTTTTATCCTAAAATGATTATATGATTTTAATAAAAATCATTGATTTATTTGTATTATTTCAATTTTTTCGAGTTATATTTAGGATTAACAGGTTTATTGATTGCGGTAATATTATTGTTACCCAAATCACTGCTCTTAAATAACGAATGTTTTCAAGATCATTTCGAGCACACTTTAAGTGGAATCCCGAAAGTATCCGAAAGTAGACGAAGAAGACCGATCTCCATTCCTTCGTATCAGAAATTTTACGTTTGGTTAGGTTACGTCAGCTAAAGTCCCTATTTGGTTCACTTATTTTTTGAGTGTTTATAAATAACAACGTGAAATGATTTATCAATATATTTTTATATTTTTAACTATCGATAATCCACATCTGCTTTATTTTTTTTCGATTTATTAGACACATCAATGTTTATGATGCTAGGAATTAAATAATAGTCGTTAAAGACTGCAGCAATTAACATTAAATTTATACTTTAAATGCATTAGTCTATTTCCTTCAGTTTACTCGTATAGAAAATAATGAATATAATAATTTATATTAATAATGGCTTATTTAACATGGAGAAGCATAACGAAAAAAAAATCTAATCATTTTGGGCGAAAATATGCTGTTGTGGCATGTTTTTCATTTGTATATGAATATAATGATGCCTGTTTTTGGCGTTCTTCAGGGGTAGAGTGTGTTTGAAGTGATTCGAAACTGTAGTTTGTGGCCTGAGTGTGTCACTGGAGAGGGACTTCACTGAGGGAGAAACTAAATATAGCTTAGATTTTTGGATTAATGCTAGGATGAACCATAAGAAATAAAAACATATTAAATTGTTTTTAATAACATTTAAGGTGTGGTTACAAGTTTAAACATAGTTTAATAAATAATGATATAGCGAAATATCGGATAAAGTTAAAAAAAAAATACATAATCCCTTATTACATATGAACAATTGGGAGTTGAATTGTTGGAAATAGAAGAAATGCTGACCATACCAGAACTCGTTTCATCTTAGGCCCGGACAGTTTTCCTGGAATGTTCTCTTTCAGTTTGGTCCTTCTTTTCGTGGAAATATTGTTTAATCCCGTTATTACGTGAAAACCTTTCCCAGATCATCGTATATGGGGTATCTTAGTGTCCTCCATTGTTGGTGGAATAACTACAATGCCAGACAGAATAAAAGATTTTTTCTTGGTGATTTTACGGTAACTAAAATCCTGAAAACCTCAGTCAGACTGATTTTACTCCGTTTTGGTTCAAAATGTTTTCTAGTTATATTATTAATTATTAAAAAAACAATATTTGTACAACAAATGCATCATTTGCATGGCTGTTATTTTTTGTATATTTGTTGAGATATCAGCAATGATTATGGAGGTTTCTGATTTATATATATATATATATATATATATATATATATATATATATATATATATATATATATATATATATATATATTTATTTATTTACTTATTCAGAAATATTAGAATCTGTCACAATTAAGGATATTTATAATACTTATTTATAATATAATAGTTCAGAGAGCACATTCACACTATATTTACAATAAATAAAAATAAATAATGCAGAAAATAATAATAATAAAAGTAAATAACAATAATAATCAAAATAACAACTAAAACACATGAATACTATACAATATTTACAGAATCCAATCATATTTATATTATGTCATCTATTTTTATATGCATAAGTTTCATTTATGTTATTTTCGATACTGTATTTTTTTTTCTTTTATATTTTATATTTACATAAAGAGGTTTTATATTTTGCTCTTTTGTGTTTAGATTGATTAGTGGTTCTGAGGAATTTTCTTTTGTTGTCAAAATGATTCTCTTTATTGGTTGATTTGTTTTCCCCTGTCACGTTTAATCTATGGCTTTTCACTATCTTATCTGTTTCGTTGGTGCTACAACCCGAAGGTGCGTCTTGGCTCTCCTCTTCTTGGCTTCCGCCGTCCAGCTCGATCCATTGCCGCTGCCTTCCAGTTCGGTGTTTCCAGCAATATCCTGGACTCAGCCACCACGCCATCTTAGATTTGGAAAGATGGATCCTCAAGGACTCTTCTCGGAATATCACTCTCCTCCACCCGAAGTATATGGCCAGTCCAACTTAACCTTCCAAGTTTTATGAAGTCGAGGACATTCAAGTCATTCATTATACAGAGTGTATAATTCCCGGTTTCTTCGCCTCCTCCAAACTTCTTCTTCTTTCACTAGCTATTTTCATGAGTCTTTGGTATCGTCCATGTTTGTGATACATATTTCAACACCGACGTTAATTTATCTTGTGAGTAGTTGGCACTTATTCTGCCTCCTTAGGCCGAAGTAGCAACGGTTAGCCGCCAATATCCTCCTCCCCATTTCCTTCGACATGTCATTGGTCGATGTTATCAGGGATCCGAGGTAGGTCTTTGAAATTTGTATGGGCCTATTTATATAAAATATGTTTTTTTCCTATCTTAAGTATTTTCGAGTAATAGGAAAAATAACTAGCTATTTATAGGACTTTTTTTTTAAATATCCGTAGTTTTTAATCTAAGTTCTACAAGCAAAAGCAAGTAACTACAGAAAGTGACAACTTACATTGCAATAACTCTTACGACTGATAATGTATTAGTTTACTGATAACAATTTTGGTTTTTTATTCAATACCATACTATATCACCTTTCTTCAATATTTTGAAGAAAAGTGTTGTTCTGCCTACCTCCAGAATGTTTTCTGTTCTTTTTATTCCAATTTAGGTATCTTAAGCCCTGAAAATTTATTTGAAGATCATAATCCATTGAAGACGAAGGTTAGATAAAAAGGGTTTGACTTGCTCATTCCCCATGATGTCAAGTCGCTCACTGTAGTCTTGTATGTTGTATCGCGCTCAAAACTTTATTTTTGAGCTATTATTATTATTTTGAAAAAATAATCACACTAGAATATTGGAAAGAGAAAAGAGGATATTCTTAGACGACAAATATAAAATAAAAACTTTAAGAATGTTTCCCTAGTTATAAATAAATACGATTTGAGACTCTACAAAAAATATTGCCCTCAAACATTTTTCTTGCGCCATGCCATCCTCTTCTGAGATTAATGTTGGTATCACATCGATTGATTAATTGCTTATAGCGTAGATTGGCACCCAACAAAGTATGAAGGAAGTTGTGAAAACATCCTTCAGAAATATCCTAGGTCATCTCATGTAATTATTTCTCTTATTAAACCTCCATTATCCTTTTTGTTTGCAAATTACCTCCTGTCATCACCCGTCCTCTGTAATTATTGAAAACATCCTTATATCTCTACATTGAATAATATATAACAGAATAGGTTATCCTTCATTTAATATTAAAATTTAGCATAAATAAGATACTTGTAAATACATTTGTACTAGTTTCCCTGTATTTATTTTAAAGACAGGAGTATGTCTGCAAACCGAGAAGAGATTTTAGAAAATTTTATGGTTGTTACCAGGATTAAGAATGTCGAAGAAGCGATCATATGGCTTGAATGTTGCAATTGGGATTTGACGAGCGCCATAAAGACATCTTCACCGGAAGAGGTCCGATTGCAGAACGACGTATATTCTAAGAAAATACAGAACGGCTCTATTCCAGAGGGCGTTGACCCTCGGGGGCCGGAAGGCGAGGAAGGATCTCCTCCGTTGAGGGTCATCGAGGTCTATGTGGTCCACGGATCCAGCATCCACCTCGTCCGGGCCCCCGACAACATCAGCTTCCACTGCTTCAAGAGGCTCGTCTCCTTCGTCACCGATGTCCCTCCAGGCGAGCAGGTCATCACGGGCTGGCCGCGGCAGCCCTCGTCCGACGCCGACCCTCTCTCCTTCCTCCCGAAGCTGTCCTACGTCGTCCTGAGGGGGGCCACGTCCTTCATCGAGACGGGAGTTCCCACGGAAATGGAAGAGTTCGACGAACCGGATAACATTTACAGTTTCAAAGTATTCGACGAGGTACACGATCGATGTTACACCCTCAAAGTCCCAGGCAGTCACACTGTTGGCCAAGTGAAGCTAGACACTTACCTGTTGACGGATATACCAGTCACGAACCAACGTTGGAGCGGTTGGCCCGAAGGTACGGCAGACGACAAACAGCTTCGATTCTTATTGTTGGATCAGCCTGAGCATTCGCTGGGGATCAGGACGAACGAACCGCTTCCAGATGATGCGAGTTGTCCTTCATCTCTCACGGTTGACCAATCAGAAGAGGTCATTGACTTGGACGATACATCTGACATTTTCATCGCCGAAAACGAAGAAGTCGGAGGGGAAAGATACGATCGATGCGGCCAGCCTCACCTGATACCCAGCAATGTTGAGGACGAAATGGCCGGGTCTGTCCACTTCATAGACGAGTATATGCGTCGGTACGGCCAAGCGACTCCATCCTTTCTGACTGGCACACTGGAAGACGCCATGAGGGAGGCCTTTCACCGCCCCGTCAGAGAGAAGAGGATGCTGGCGTTGTACGTCCACCACGACGGGAGCGTCCTCTCCAACGTGTTCTGCACTGAGCTCTTGGGCTCCGAGGCGACCCACCAGATCCTCTCAAATTATTTTGTGGTGTGGGGATGGGACGTCACCAATGAGAGTAGTAGAGGAATGCTGGTATCGGCGGTGATAAGAGTCTTAGGAAGCTCTTTTGCGAGGACAGTCGAAATCATACCCACTGACTCGTTCCCAGCTCTGTTCGTAATCGCTCCGATAAGGTCACAGTACGAACTGCTCAATGTCATCTACGGCAACAACGGCATCTCGGAGCTACTATCAACGTTGGTCGCCGCTGTCGAGATATTCACTAGGAATATGGAAGTGGAAGCAGTCGAAGAGGATCAGAGGAACGCGAGGCAGAAGATCAAGAACGAGCAGGACTCGGCTTACGAAGAATCGCTGGAAATGGACAGAGCTAAGGACGAGGCGAAGAGGCAGAGGATACAGGAGAAGACGATGGAGGAAGAGCGAGCAAAGAGGCAGAAGGAGGTCGAAGACGAACGGCGGTCAGTGGAGGTGGCAGCCGTTCGGTCGAAGATGCCGCCCGAGCCGTCGCAAGAAGACGAAGAAAACAGGTCGATCTTCATCTTCAAGTTCCGGGCACCCAGCGGCGAGACCTTCGGCAGGAGATTCTACTCCACTGACACTCTAGCCGTCGTCTTCAACTTCCTCTTCGTCAAGGGGTACGACGTGAATACATTCAAATTCATAACTGATTGGCCGAGGAAGGATTTGACTCTGATGGACCCGGAAACAATCCTTGGTGATCTAGCCATCTTTCCACAGGAAACTATTATTCTTGAAGCACGCTGATGATAATAAATGTTTTTATTGTACCAGCAAGTTATTGTCTATTATTATCAGAAACTATTATATTTTATTGAATTTCAAATATTTGAAATATAAAATTAATTAAATATTTATAATATAAGCACATGAACATTAACTGTTTTCAATATTACTTTAGTTACCATTAATAAAAGTTGGTTTGACAATTCTAGACCCTCATTCTCAATGTTTAGTTTAATGAGTATTATTTGAGGTACCACTACAACCCAATTTAAAAGATCTGGGGTTCAGTCCTTTGTAGGGAATTATTATTTCAAGATCCGTATCTTACCCACTGAGCTATTCTGCTCCTGTATTATAACATAGCTCTGATATTCAAACAATCATTAAGCTAAACCTTTATGAAATGCATTCTATGTCTCTACCCCTCCAATACTTTAAACTCTGTTACCATCTTACTCCAAATTTTGCTGCTCTTCCTAATAATCGTTAAGTATTGGCACCTGTCATCTTTGACATATGAATAGGTAAATATTTTCCTGTATGTATCGTCGGTTTATTTCCAAAAGCGACATTTCTTGACCTTAAATCTATAAGAACATTGATGAATTTTCTCGATGTGAAATAAGAACACTTTGTACATGTAGCCATACCTGATATATAAAATAGTTGGTGTAATTATGGTATTTTTACTTTGCTTTTTGATCGGTAAATAAAGTCAAAATTCACGAAAATGTTCTCAAGAGTTGAGCTCCATCAAAACTGTATTTAGTGACTATGTCCCATAATCCTATAATATGCAACCTATGGTATTTATTTTCTTCATGTGATAGCACAATGATTTTAATTTACATATTAGATATTTTATCTCTTTCATCATTTCCTTAGTAGGATAGTTTGCAATTTCATAAAGTCCTCTTTGCAATATTTATCACTCATCACGCAATAGTGTCCCAATTCCCATTTCGCTCGCGAGTTTCATCTCCCATCGTCCTTAATCCCCTCACCAGGACAAAAGGAGCAGAAGAGAATCGCATTGTATTCCTCCTCTTGAGCGCATTTAACGCGCGCTGCAACCGCAACAGAACTCCTCCAGATCGTGGAAGAGATGGCCACTCGCTTTCCCAAGAACTCCTGCAATCGCCGGTCCGATTATTGCAACGCCCCTGGCTTGCGTCAGTGCTACACTTGTGCAAGCTGCGGCACACTGACACACTAACACGTCGCAGGCATTGTCTGCCTTGGAGGCCGCTTGCTCAAACTGACCAGTGGATATCTTATAGTGGTGTATGAGAACACTTCTGGAGGACTTAGAGGTGCCGCTATAATGGCTGATTGTAATTTAGTTATCATATTGGAGTCGCTTATTTCCAAAATGAACACGAGATAAGTATCGTATATCCCATGAAAAATACCCAGTCAATCCGATGTTGCATTTTTTTTATTTTAAAATGAACCACAATATTGAAAAGTGCCAAGTAAGGACTGTGCAGCTTCCTTTCCTATTGCCATTGGCTAAAAAATATTATCAGGAGAAGCCATTTTCGGAAATATAGTGATCCCTCAGGATTTTGTTCCTCAACGAAAAATACGGTAGAGTTGCATATTTTAAAATTTCGTATTTGACGATTAGTGATAAAAAAATAAATCTGGTGCGCGAAACATATAACTTTCACTTACCCCTCTGCTTTGAATAAAAATTATTTTCTGGCAATGTTGAGGTATTATAAAATTGTTGAAGTGCATTTTAAACGGAGCTAAATGTTAAAGCTTACAGATAACAATTCATTCAGACCATTAAAATTACAAAAAGTCTATTTATTATATCTACGGTAGGCGATAAAAATCTAGTTTTGTAAACAACATAAATTCAATCTCTGAGCCTTTCAGCTGACAGAATGGCTTGTACAGACAGTGAGTAAGTTGATTCAAGAGTAGGTGATTACAGTTTTGAAATATAGAACTGTGAATAAAAGTATAAATTTTGCAACTAGAAACATCACTAAAATTAATAATAAAGAATGTTGAAATTGGAGTTAGTCAAATTGTTTCAACCAAAAGGCTCATATATGCGTAGAGAGATTTGAAAGTGCATCTGAATATTCAATCAATAAATGATTATGGATTGTAGTTACTAAATTAAAGTAAATCTATTAGTTATTAAACTGTTATTTTCCATTGCAAAGTTTACTAAAATGGAATTACCATATTTATACTGTCTGTTATAGATAGATTAAAAGGTTTCACACTAATTGTAAGTTGATACTGTTGGGATATCACAAATGGAAAATTCATCAAATTATTCACTAATTTAATTTTCTAAAAGGTTACATGATGATTTTTCGGAATAAACGAACGATAGATACCTGATTATTTAAATATAATATCTTATATAGAGTTAATTATAGTAAATATATTTGAGGTTATAAACATAACCATGAAATATTTTTATATTTCACTTCTTCTTTCACACAAGTACAATGAAATAGTATATTAAACAAGGTCATTTCCTTGATTCCGCGGAATTTAAATACTTTTGGTCAAACTTAATAAAAAATTTAAAAGTTTACATTTAGTAAGACATTTTCATTTAATTTCCTTGAAAACATGTGATTTACGTTAACGTAATGTTAGTTTTCAGTTATTATTATTTGTATTTTTTTCGCCAATCACCGTTACCTTCCACAACTTTAGTTATGTCTTTTCCAACAAGTAGCCCAAGAACAGACCCATTAATTAAAAATTAATATAAATAATTGTTAACAATATAACGGCTGTGAAATGTATAAGGCATTGATTGTATCAAGGTTAGGTTAATATAATTTTTATAGAGTTATAAAATTTTAGGCAATATTCAAAAAGGTAATTCAAACTCTATTCATTGGTCAATTCCATGTTACTGACATTACATTTACTATCGTTAAATAGATTTTAAGTTATTTTGAATAAATTATTTATATTTTTAATTTCTTGGAATATTTGTTGGAACAGAGCCATTAAATGAAAATAAAACTAGGAAATGTTTTTACTATTCCAAAATTTGCTATAATACTCAGTGTTAGTGGTAGTACAAATGAGATATAAATATAAACTATGAAAAAAATTTATTATTTTCTAAAGGAGAAACTAGGTGAAATGTTTTGAAATGTTGAAAACGAGTTTATCTGGAAAAAAGTAGCAGCATAAAATGACTCTATACAAAAAAAAATTAGATATTTAAGATTATATAGTTTCCGATTAATTATCATGATATAAATAAATATTTTCTTAAATTTGTAAATTTGTTCCTTAAATTTTCTTAAATAAAATAACAATCATTACTTAAAAGATGAAATTTGCATGCCATTATTTTTAAATATATAAAAAATATATAATTTCATTATTGAATAATATTTCTAATAATTTACAATTTTATCAGTTATCCTTATGTACAAATTCTTTAGTAACTATTGTTTGCAATACCTACTCTATTATAATAAAACTTTAAATGAAAATGAATACTTTTAATTTATAATCTTTTTTTACACAGTACATAACAGTGAAATACAACATAAAATCATTCCCAGCAACTCAAATACTAGCAACTCAAAGTAGCATAATAGCAACTCAAAGTACTATATGCCATTGGAAAACTTCAAATTTTACAAAAATAAATACATAGCGTATATGGTCATGGGTTATAATGTAAAGTGACGAAAAACTAACAAATTTTAATTAATTTAGTGAATAATCTATATTTTACATTATATTATTGAATTAAAAATTAAGGTTTCCATAGGAAATATATGGAAAAATATTTTCTTTCTTCAGTATGATAAATCAAAAAATTAATAGTGGACAGGTAAGTGAATTCTATGTGATAAATCGCAAATAATTTTAAAAAAATAAATAAAATAAAGACAAAAATATGAAATTCAGAACAAGCATCTTTGGAATATTTTTTTTTTTTTTTTAGCAATATGTCTAGTAATTTTTGTTTTTTTAAATTTGACGTGGTAATCCAAAAGTCTTCTGGTTGGTTGATGGATCGGTAGTTGGAAATATAATTTTAAATTATGTCAAATAAGATGGAATTACTATTGATTCACTTGTGTGTGTATGTGTTAAGTTTTATTCGTTCAACCTGGGTATGGGTAAATTACCTTGAGTCAAATAGTTCTTTAGAAAGCATGCCAACCCAATTTTAGTTAACTTGCGCAACCTCTTCATTTCTGTACAACCCTAATTGGTCCATCCTTGCTTCTTTTAGGGTTTTAATTTAGGGTTAAGTAATTAACTCTGTCATTTTAGGGTTTTAGGGTGAAGTAATTAACTCTGTCATTCGTTTTTTTGTTTTGTTAAATTAACTCAGATGTCTTCTCTTTTTTAAGGGAAAATAAAATAATTTTATTAGTAATAATTTTGAGATGGTTGTGTGTTTGGATGTATAGCAGCCCTAGAGGTGGAGTCAAAATAATTTACTCATTTTAGGAGAAGATTTGAATGCAAATTACGATAGTATTTGCTATTTTAAGTAACATAAACCTTTTTTGACGTTAATTTCAAAAATGTTTTCATAAATATGAGTACAATTAGTGCTTCGAAGGAGGATGTTGGAAAAATGTGAAGTATAAGGTTTATTTCAAAAAGTACAGCTTTTTGAAGCTAAACTTTTTTGCGAATTTCATCCTTATTTATCGACAAAACACAGTATGTGCTCCATGCCAGAAATACTTTTATTCAAAAAAGTATCTTAACGCGAAGCGTCTTGTTAGAGAGACAAACAAGTAAAAGAGAGGAAACAAATAGTGTCGAAAAACAAACGACAAAGAGCTTTGTTAAACATATGGATTAAAATATCCTAAAATAAACTAAAAATTAGACCTGAGGAATTATGTTAGGGGGGAGGGCAATACTCCTCCTAAATAAAAATGTTTAAGGGACGGGAATATCGCTTTGCCATCCCCCAATAATTTGAGGCAAAAAAAATTAATAATAAATAAGTTACGCAATGAATGAAATGCTCAAACTAAAATCGATTAAGAAAAGTCGACTAGCTGGTTAGGCTAGGTTCTAATAGTAGATATGTAACTATTTTTTGTTGATAGCTAAATATTGCTTTTATTTAAATTTTCATTTATATTCAAAGATAATAATATAAATCAAAATACTCTAGAATTTTATGATTCAATCACCCCTCAAGATTCACGCGATATTCTTATCACATTTTTCCGCGTCTCACTATGTACACACTAAGGAATCAAAAATATTTTTCACTTTTTTACATTATTCATTTTTAACTGAATAAGTTCT